GACAAACCCCGGTTGTCTCCTTTGGGACCGGGTGGAGACCACACCTTCCCTAATCAGGAATCTGTCGGAGCCGATCTCCCGGTGTCACGTGTAAGCTTGGACCCGAGCGGGCCTGGTCTGCTCCAATGATCGGCGTGCAGTGAAGCTGACTCAGCTGAGCTGATGGTCGGGTCGATCAGTCGGTGACCTAATTGGATGATCCCTCCACGAACCGTGGACGGATCCCTCGTCTGTAGCCCCAGAACAGCCTTAACTGGACACCTCGACAGACACTGCATCATCGATCAGATAACATCATCGTCTGTCGACATCATATCTGACTATCCTGAACATAGAGTTTGGGAGGCGTCTCGACCTGATCAGGCTCAGCAACCGTGGACAGAGTCAATACCTATGAGTACATAGTACGATTCACAGGGCACATGAAGAAACAAACAAAAATCAGAAAAGTCAATAGGCATCAGCGTCATATCCGCCCAACTCCACTATGCGATTTACACAGACCGCCACAGCAACGCGCGTACACTTGCCCACATTACCCATCCGCTAACATCAGAAAATCGAAATTACTGCCCACATGCAAAAAGGTATATACGGTAGGTGGTCAAAAGGTCGGAACAAGTAAATACATAAGTGCCTGCGGCCATCATGGCTATGCCCGCGCCCCATCCCGGAGTGAGGAAGGACAACGGATCAGAAGTCAAGGGGAATAAGTACATTAGTTTTGATAAGGAGTAATGGACCGAACCCGGTCTTCCGATGCTCTCTCTCCCTACAATACTCCTTGTGACAGCCGTTGCTCCATCTGCTTGGCCAGTGCTTGCGGCACGGCTTCTTGCGTGGCTCGGATAGTGACTCGGTACATCTGTAATTGGTCAGTCGGTCATCGATCTTTTCTCGTTGAAGCAAAATCTAAAACTTACCTTCCGCTCATAGTTGGGCTCCAGTCGCAGAAGACAGCCCGTCTTCCCGTTGACAAACTGATAAACAGCGCAACCCACAATGTTCTTCCCGTTTGGATCGACGTTGTCCAGGATCTTCCAGCCAAATCCTTCCACCACCCGCCGAGTGAACGCTTCGCTAACATCCTTGGCCCGCGCCGCCACCGCAAAGGTATTCTGCGCCTCCAGCGGTCCTCCGCCAATCTGCCGCCACCGTTTGAAAAAGTCTTCGGCTGACAGCGCCGATGGCTCCATGAACCGATGCATCAGGATCGGCAGCTGCAGCGTGTAAGCCTGGAGTGCGCCAGCAAGGTACGAGATGCGGATCGTGGGCGCGTCCGTGAATGGCCCGTGCGATTCCACCAGCAGCGTTTGCTGCGTTTGCCCCGCCGCCGGCACAGACGGCTCGGGCAGACTTTTCGTGTCAAGCTTCAGATTCGGGGCAGCGCGGTTGTCCAACGTGGTCGTGAGGGACCCGACCGGGTACGAGGACTTGTTGGAAAGGTAGATCTTCACCACTCCCATATGACCCCGGTATTCCGATCGCAGGCCGACCTGGATCTGCGCATCCTCAAAGAGAACGCCTTCGTCGTTGAAGTATAGTTTATTGTAGCCGATATCCCAGTCGGGCGTCAGATGGGCCGCGCTGGCCATGTTAGGAGCAGCAGAGGCGCTGAGATCCAGCCCGGCCAAGTCACCAGACGCACTGGGCCCTGTAGCTGCTCCGTTCGTTCCCGTCTTGGTGCCGTTGACAATCGTGGTGAAACTGCGCTTCAGTCCCGTGTTTTGCGCCATCAGTACCTCCTTCTGGTCCGCATTGGCGTCCTTGCCGCCCACCACCCATGTCTTCTTCTCCGTCGTGCCCGCGGTTTTCTGGTGGAGACGGGAGAGCAGGATCGACGCGCGTTCGGAGAAGGGGGGCATCTCATCGCAGACTGTCCGGAGTAGATCGTCCGTGGGAAGCGTCGCCAGCGACAGATACTCAAAAGCACGCTGCTGTAATTCCGAGTCGGGAGAATGGCTGTAAAGGCGGAAAATGTGCAGAAGTTGGGGTTTGATTTCGGGGAAGAGGTTGACAAACTTGATGAATGATGACAGAATCATGGCCCGCGTGTTGTCGGTACTGGTGATCATCTTCGCCTGCAGTGCCAAAAACTGCTCGATCGGGCTCGAACCCTGACTGTCCGCAATTAGGTGGCCGAATTCCCCCAAAACATAACAGCCGATCTTCACCAAGCTCTCGTGGCAGTCGGTCTTCAGATATCCAAGGAGGTTGTGTGCCGCATAAGCCTGCAGTTCTTCGTTGTTGGTCACGATCTGAATCACTCGCTGCCATACCTCCTCGTTGACGTGGTCACCAGCCAACGACAACAGCTTGAGTGTCATGTCGATGTACCACTGGGCATCCGTGGCGTATTTCTCCGTGAGAATGGCTACCTTCAAGACCATTTCCTCTCGGATCGCATAGTCGGCCGTCTGGAGATAGCGTAACAGCTCGTTCACGATTGGGCCAGCATTAGTCGTGTCGCACATACTGTAGACTAGATCCAGACCCTTCCGCCGAACACTGATGTCCCGATCTCGCAAGGAGCCAAGAATGATACTCTGGTGCTTCTTAATGGGATCGAGGGTTTCCGCCCGAGCAGCGAAGTGCGTCAATGCTTCCAACCCCAGATAGCGAACGTTTGTCTCGCGAGACTGGATGTACTTCCCTAACCGAGCAGAGATCTGTAGCATCAGGCTATGCTCGGTGTCCAGGTGTATGAGAAGGTTGATGGCTTCGAAGAGGACCGCATTCTGGGCGTTATTTTGCTGAACGTTCTTGGGCGCATCCATAGCGGAGTTCATGATCTGCTGCAGAGATTCACGAATGATCTCACGGACATGGGTGTCGCCTGGAGTTTGGTTAGCATGAAGGGACCACGCAGCGGAATCGTTGGGATGATCACATACCTGAGGGAGGGTAGTACTGTAGCAAGCGCAGCAGTTTCACTTGGATCCACGGACATGGCACACGATAGTAGAGATAGTCGGGCGCAATATCATTGTCGACCACAATCCTTTTCAGTCTGAAAGCAGCCTTGACATAACACCCAGCGTATTCCTCCGGCTTGTCCTGGGCCAACGCCATGACCAGCGAAGTCACCGACAAAGTGACACCCATGTCGGGATCATCCATGATGGAGATTATGCGTTCCGCCCACTCGGCCTGTACAATGCCCGGGTACTTGCGATACAATCGGAGAAGGGTAAGAGCGGCCTTCTTCTTTACGAAGGCTTTGGAGGTCCTAGTCACGAGAATCAGCAACCCCGATTCGAAAATCACCAAGAATCCCTTTTCCTGCCCTGAACCACCAAGCAGTCAACTTACGGCGAAATCAGTAGCCGGTGCACATCCGTCGAGAGCGCCTCGCCCATCTCCCGTCCACCGACATTGGCCACCGCATGGAGCGCCAGACAGTTGTTCAGCTCATTGTGGTCCAGCAGGTCCTTGCGAATACTGTTGACCACCAGGTGCAGGAGTTCATGCTGCTCGTGCAGGAACAAAGTCACAGCCAGATAACCAATCTGCTTCTCGGAGTATTTGGTGGAGGAGATGAGGTTGACGGCTTCCAGGTGGCCGAAGTCGACGTCGTAGCCCTGGATGTAGACGTAGAGCAGCTTGCAGACGTATTTCTTCTTCTGGTACCCATTCAAGCTACCTCCCTTGAACTTCTGGCGGATGTTGGCCAACTCTTTGTTTACCCGCTTCTCCTCCAGCTCGCGCGCTCGTGCGTTTCGCAGGTCGGCGATGAACTGGACCAAACCCCGCATGGACGACATGGTGGGCGACAAAGCACGGGGCGAGTATTATTAGGAATAAGTAATTATAATGAGCGATGCGTGTGGATTAAATGTGCGAAGGCTAGTTAGCAATGCTGGCTTGGCTGAAAGAAGAAGACGAAAAAGAAGAAAGATTGAGACCAGTCGCTCCGTCGGTCGGTCTCGGGTCGAACGGGGTGGGCGGATTCACTGCGTCCGTTGCACGCAGTCGCCGCTGCGTGAGGGAACAATGCGGGGAGGTTCGTCGGTGTGATTTGTGATTATCCGCTCAGTATCTTCGGAGCGCATGGAACATGGCGTGGAATACCGGTGTGGAGAGCGAGCGGAGATCTGAAGGAGGAGAGGAGGAGGAGAAGGAGGGGGGCCGTAATCTGATGCGCACCAGGGGGGGTTGACAGTCGAGTCGCAAACTGGCCGAAGGAATGGAATGGTCGGGAGATAAGTAGAAACAGTAGATAGTCGTAGCAATTGGAGACACGATTGAATCGAGATTCTCTCGCTGGCTTGAAAGGAATGGTAGAAGAGAGAGAGGAGGGGAGAAAAGGTGAAGTTGTCAATCGGGGATCTTGCAGCAGCAGCAGTAGCAGCAACAGCAAGCAGCAGCAATGAGAGAGACCCTCGTCAGGAGGGAACCAAGCCGGGCCTCAGCCACTTCCGCGGCCGATCCGGCTGCGGAAAGCTGGAGGAATATTAATGCGCTGTGGCGGTGCATGCAGGGATCTTCATCGTGTGGTGATGTTAGCCAATGCTTCTAGAATTCTAGAAACATAATGGAGCCGCCTCATCTCACATTAATTTAAATTCTGACACCCAGCATCTATGATAGCCTATGAGACATCCAAATTGACTCTGCTGTATCACCATACACCCCACCTCCCGGTCCTACAGGAAGGCACTGCTGTACCGTAGGACCTATCTACTTGATGCACGAACCGTTGTGACTAGTGATTCCGGATGCAACCTTATCGGATCCCAGGGTCTGCATCCCGGCGGGGACAAGGGAGATTTTCACACCCAGATGGGCAGCCCCCCTCCCTTCCTCGGCATTTGTGCCCGTGTTCCCCCTGCCACTACGTATGATGGTCCGTGTGGATCATACTTATACTCTACTCAGTTGCTCTTCTTATCCTTATTAGTCGCTTCGACCCTTTTAAGGGCCATTTTGCATGCAGCCTACTAGCTGAGCGAGCATGAGGCGAACCCTACGTAACGCAGAAAAAAAATGAACTTCAAATAGTACTGTTTCACAGGACTCTAGCCCATTAATACCATTGTAATACAATCTCATCCTTGAGAAAAGTACCCCATGCTACTACTGCCACTACCACCCTTCATGATATAGAAAAAAAAAACGCCCCCGGTCAAACTCCAGAATGAAAACTCCAGATCCCCAAACCGTGCCATGCTATGATAAAAAAAGGCCCACCGAAGAAAGAAAAAGGCAAACTTGAAAGATCGACTCAATCAAAAGGTCAAAAGATCAAGCGCGGGTGGTGAAGTCAATCTCGTTGCTCTCAGCGGCAGCGTCCACAGCAGCGGCCTTTTCACAGGTGCAAGAAGCTGAGAGAACCCAAGTTAGCTGATGTTTCTGTAACCGCTTCTAGGTTGGCTCTGGACTTACTGGAAGATCTCTGTCCGCAGGGGCAAGCATCGCCCGAAACGGGGGTGTTTTCGCTGGGAGCACGCTCGCAGGTGCATTGGCCGGCAGGGCGGGCTCCTGATGCCATGGGGTTAGTTTCAGAAGAAAAGATACGGACTGTTGGGGGGGGGGGGAGAACATACTGCAAGAACAGCGAGGCCCAGAGACGGTGTTCTCGGACGAGGCCTTGTTGCAGGTGCAGTGGAGGGCGTTCTCCTTGCCGCAGGAGCACTTGGCCTGAGCGGCGCAGACGCAGCTACCGTCGCCGGAGGTCTTGCAGCAGGTGGAAGCAGGGTTGACCATTTTGACTATTGGTGGTGGGAGTTGAGGGTCGAGAAGACAAAAGATGGGTTTTCGAGTGAGAGTGGTAGAGAAAGTGAGGATGGACCAATGACGTCACGGGTAGGTGTCGGTTGGATTGATTTGAGGTTTGAGGCACGAAGGCGCGATCGCAGTGTTCCGAGACGAAGTGATCGTTGAGTGGAAGATTGGTAGCTTGAGTATTTGAGTATTTGAGGCTCTCGATGATGATGGTTGAATAATTCGTTGCAGGGAAACAACAATATTTATATTCAACGTCGTTCAACTATGTAGATTCCATGATTGGCAATCAGCGGCGGCTGATTGGTTGACTGACAAGAGCCTCCGTGAAGTCCCGTGACCACAGTTGCATTCGCCGATCTTTGATTCGACCGTCTACCACGGAGACAAAAATCAATCCAGCAATACAGAATGCTTGGGTTTGTAATACTCGCAAGCTGGTAGGCATTTGCCACTTAATGACCTTCAGAACGGATTCCAGTTGCTTTTACATCTCTTCTAATTGGATGACTATAATGTATCTTGAACCTGCCAGCCTGGAGGCTTTATGGCCCTGCTCATTCCTCTGTCATTGGACCAAACAATTAAGGCGATCTGTAAATACCACTGCATCTGCATGGCTGCAGCATTATTACACATTACTAAGTACGTAGTGCTCAGAAGTAAGCAATCTGGCTCCACATTAATATCAGGCCACTGGTGCATGACGTACTCAGCACCTACATGTACTCGTATAATCTGCCGCGCCCAGAGTCGTCTCAGCTCAATGTGATGGAGTGCGGACTGCGCAGTTGTGCAAGTAGTAGGCAAGAATTGATGGCAATCCAAATGATTAGACTAGAATTTAAGAGTTGTATACATACAAAACCCAGGGAAGTCACCCAAATCCAAGACAAAGGCACGACGCATGCTAAAATGAAACAATAAATAGACGCAACAGGGCTAAACGGAAGGCCCTCGCGAATAAAATCAGAAAAAAAGCAGTTTTGACGCCATGGAACGTCCGGTCCCAGCTTGGAGAAATGGGATCCGGAATGCAGTGATGAAAACCCCCTTTTTCCTTTAAAATCTTTTTGTGACGAAACCAAAACAGTAGCAAGCCAAGACGATGATTAGGATCAAGACAATATGTATATATTCCGGCAGGCGAACGAAATGCCGATATGTGCAATGCACGCCAGAGGTAATGGGAGGAGCGGTTGAAGGCAATGATTAAATAGGTATCAAGAACAAGGCAGATTATAGGGCGGCGTATGTTGAGGGAAGGATAGAAAGGATGTTTCTGAGTAGGCCATTGGTCATTGGGTTAGAGGTAGTTGGCGTATTCGAAGGTCTGGTTGCCAAATTTGGCCCTCAAAGGATCGATCAATTGCGGAGGATTGTTGATTCGGTCTTCTGCAGTGCTGACCACCGGTCCTTGGGAAACACTATTGGCTTCCGACGGAAAGGAGGCGGGAAGGCTCATGCTGGAGGCGTTGGCTTGGCTATATGGCATGGCGGCATTCATGTGGTATTGGTGGTGATCATATGAATAGGGTCGGTAGTCGGGCGCCTCCGAGACCGGGATGGATTGCATGGCGGGTATCTGCCTCCCATGTTGTTGCATATGTGCATTCATGTCAATGCCGCCAAAGGCCTTGGGTGCCGGCATGGCTAATGGGGATTGGTAGTTGTGCGCCTGCTGGTCTATCGCCATCCTCATTAGTCTCAATGCCCGATGATGTCATGGGAAAATGTGGTTGGCAAGAACTTACTATGCCCATCGACGTTATAGTGAGCTTGTTGATCCGGCTGTCCAGTCGGGGATACAGAGCCCTCGATGGCTCGCTGTTGATCATACCCTACCACCATACCGCTCGCAGACCTATTGATACCATATTCCAAGGGGCGACGACTGTATGCCATGCTCGGATGAACCAGCGGCTCGAGCCCGGGCCTTGAATATCGCCCATGGTAGTGAAGTCCATTGTGAAACGAAGCCTCGGAAAAGCTGCTGGATCTGGGGAACGGGAACGCGCCGCGGTTATGTCGGTTCATGTCGGTAAGAGGTGTATGAGCGCCCCGATTCGCCATGGCGGCTGTATGTGTATAATCATTAAAGTGTCGATCCGGTCCAGCTGAAGGGAATCCATTCGTTGTCGAGGCTGAGCTGAGGGGCGAGATCACATAATCGTCATCATTCCGAGGAATCCCATCGGTAAGCAGCATCTTTAAATCGTTAGTATCCTTGCCATAAGTGAATGTAAATTGGGGAGACGCAACAGGTGCCTCTGAGGTTGTTCTGTGATCAAATGGCGTCCGTAGCACTTGGGTTGTATCGAAGTCATCGGGCAATGCTCTGGATTTAAGGATTCGCTCCCGGTCGTTGCTTGTGAGTCGCTTGAGCTTCGCCCGTCTGCATGGAAAGTGTCAGCCTCACAGCTGCATGATGATGAAGCTCAGGTGTGGCGGTGTATACCTGTTCTGGAACCAAACTTGAACTTGCCGTGGCGTCAAGCCGGGAATCTCTTTGGACAACCGTTCTCGGTGGGCAGCATCAGGGTGTGCTTGACGGGTGAATTCACTCATCAAGAAGCGGGTTTGATTATGGGTCAGTCTGCCGTTTTTTGTTAGCAACACGGCGAATACGGTCCATATCTATGACTTGCGCACCGGAATCTCTTCATCTTCTTCTTGTCGTGCTTATCTGGTGACTGTTTCTTGTCGCCATTTTCGGACGACGCAGCTCCTTCATCCGATGAAACCATTGCGGCATCTCCATCTCCTTTCTCCTTGTCATGCGCTTCTTCAAGTTTGAACTCGGGTGTTGTCTCTTTTGCATTCTGTGAAACGTCGGCTCCTTCAGCAGGTGGATGGTGAGGTCCGCTCTGGTTGATTTTCTCCTGTCCCATCTGAACCAATGACTCCGTTTCCGTGCCTGTGTTGTGGTTCACTAAGCTATTATGGGGATTTGTGCCCCCAATGGGCCTAACTGGGCTAGATGAGCCGGCGGCAGCAATAGCTGGAAAGGCATTCTCAGCCTTAATCACAGCGGGCTGCATGTCGGCCGAAGGCGTCTTTGTAGGCTCGCCTTCTCTCTCCCACGGCCCGGGCAATTTAGACGGGATAGCCCTCGGCTTCGGTACGATTTGCTCGCTGCTATTCCAAGAAGCTGTCGACCAATGGTTGGTGATGCCGGGAAGATGTGAAGTAGAAGGTGGTGATAATGAGGACAACCAAACACAGGGCCCGCTGATTGACATGGTAGCAGAGGATGTGGACCAGTATAGAAAGAACAATTGTTATGCTGAAGGTAGAAGAGATCAGGCGTACTGCAGCGACGAACGCAGATATAGACTGACTCTAACTTGCAAACCAGATGCCAGACCAGGGATGACAGAGTGGGTCTGCACGAGCTGTCGGGGCGCTTGCTGAAGATGCACCGGATCTCCGAGGACGGGTCGAAGACACGAAGGAAAAGAGGAGTAAATGGCAAGTTCTTTGCGTGTGAGACGCAGCAAGTAGTCGACACACAGCAGCGTGGACTTTGGACGGCGGGCAAGCGACAGCAAATGAACGACAGCGCTACCCTAGTAATGATCTCCCCCTTGACTTACACTCCGGGGCGATAAAGGAGATTCTCGGCCTCCGCTAGGACCACTGACGAACGGCAAGAAATGAAAGGTCGATCCCTTTGCTGGGTCCAGGATTCAACCGGAGAGGGGGTGGATTGTTACCGGACAGTGGGTAGGAAGGTTATAGAAGAGATTAAACGGTGCCTAGCCCAAGCGGGTAACGAATGCACGATCTCGGGCAGTGGAAATAACGGAGGACGTTAAAATGCAGGCCCTGATCACCTCCGGCCAGTGCGAGAGATCCACTTTCAGGTTGGCCACCGCAAGCACAAAACCGTGCTAGTAATGCAGCAGCGCACACGATGGGCAAGCTCCTTCCACGAACGAGTGAGGGGAGGCTGAGAGGACGAAAGAGAGAGGAGGGGGGAGGGGGAAGGGGGGCAAGGGACGAATAATCTTCAGGTCCTCGTACAGGGTGCTATAACAAACGATAGGTAGATGCCAGCTGCTAACGCGGAGAACAAACTCAAAAGAATGAGGGAAATGAAACTAAGACCGACAGGAACGAGCGTAAGAAAACAGGAAATTAAATGGAACGGGCCACAGCTTGAAGGTTCGGTACACGGAGATCCCAGACCATCCTACGATTGTCAACTAGACCTCCGGAGGCGTAGCGCCTACTGAGCCATCCAGGATCAGGACCGGAGTGACAATGAAGGTGGGAACGAGGGTGAAAGTGGGAATTCAAAACGGGCTGGGGAGAACCGGGGGATGCTACCACAATGGATAGGAGGAGGATCTAATTCAGGCTGGCTGCTGTCGACGTCGTAGTATCTTCTCGGGGGGGGGGGGGGGTCGACTAGTCAGCAACCACAGCAATGACAGCAGCAGTTGTAACCGTAGTTGGAACACTTGCTGGAGAACGTCGTCATCAGACACGGTCCTGACCAACGAAGGAGCCTGAGGTGACCACGCTCCGAGGCACCAATGGCCCGTAAAATAGCACACCGCAAGACAAGCGTTGACTGGGATTTCGGCTTACAAGTGAGGAGCAGGAGTTCGATATCAATGAAGGCAATACGTGGTGGGAGGTGGTGCAGTGACTATGAGAATAGAATTGGTAGATGGGAATGGCCCAGAGTGTAGAAAGTATCCATGTAGAGTGCCAAATTTGACGGACACTGTAAAGTGGCAAGGTGAAGGGTCGAGCCGGGGACGTTCCCTACAGGCGTGATATGCGGAAGAGGGACTGACAGCCCTGCGGACGAATGAAGCAGAGGGTCATGGAAGAGCGTGGCTCTTCAGGTCCAACGGGAGAGCAAATCGCCTCAGAGCTCACGCAGGGTATGAATGAGGCGGGAAGAACAATCGTCAACCGTTCCTACGCCATTCATGTCCCGCGCTCCTCATTGATTGTAAAATTTCCGACGTGGAACCGGCGCCCGCAACCTCTGCATCGCATCGTGCGGGTCATTCAGAGTCTGGGACAGGTCGTTCCTAGTGCCGAATCCACCGGTCATCCTGGTCGTCAGCCAACCGCAGGAGGAAAGGGTCGAATAGACCCTGGTTATCGACCTGGCTCATCCAGTCACAGTGTGCCGTCTTCTCCTTGCGACAGTAAAGATGGCAATCGGCGGTACGCACCATGTGGAAGTGCTGCCG